TAAGTTGGTTCAAATGTTGATCAGGGTTCAAAGTTAAGGGTGTCTCAATATATACATGTATACAAGAAATTTACAGCCATGACAGCACAGTGAAACCATCCTCTCTTGATATGGAAGGATGCTAACTTGTACTACTACTACATGTGTGCTTTATTACTACACTACTGTACTGCAGAAGAAGAACTGTACTTTTACTACTATTCATCAATGCTGAATCTTGTTCTGTGGGCCTGGATGGCAGCTTCTTTGTCCAGCCTGTCAGCACCACTAGTACTTGTAAGGGTTGGTGGTATTTCCATCAGATCATCATCCACGATAGCTTCTTCGCAGAGCCTCACTGCTTCTTCTGTGAGTTCAGTCACATAGTCTGCATTTTACAGGGAGAGAATTGTTAGTTGTATTGGATGGTAAACAGTAGCATATGCATTTTTATAAAATTAACCCGGTGTGACCTTATAACAATACATGTATATAGAATGGCCCTAAAAAACTATGTCTGAGCTAACCTAGTTTATATCAAGATAATTTAACCCAGGAGTACAGTAGATAGTCCTTACCAAACGTGCAGCTCCCTTGCACTGCCTGCACTGTGCATGACTTCTTGAACTTTTTATACCTGATCTTATAGATTCTCTCCCCATCCTTGTTTCTGGCCTGTCCCCGCCCACAGTTTTCGTTGTGGTGCAGAGCAGCCAGATGGAGCCTGAAGGGTAATACAGTACAGGTACATGGTATAAGAGGTAGCAAAAAACAATATATATGTAAAATTGTATTTTTTTGTGTAAATACGTTTTATTCTTTATTCAAATTTGCATATATGAATACTAGTAACAGAAACAGTCATAGACCATTTTCCTCCCCTGTTCAGGTCAACTTTATGGCTACTGTCATACATACCTATTTAAATTTCTACAAAATTTAACACTTGCTGTTTTAAAAAGTTGAACATACCTTGACAACATCCCCATGTAAAAGAATGCTGCCCATTTTGGAGCAAAGTGGTTGATTGTACTATGGAATGCCTCCAAGTGTGCGGTCTGGTATTTGGGTGACAGCTTTCGGATGTCCTTCAGAAGGCTTTTCTTTGTAATGATAGCAGAAAGCTTAACACTGGCCTTTGTGTCTGAAACACAAATACCACAATAAGTAAAAATAGTAACAAGTTTTTGGAGATGCCACACTAACATGTTTGCAGTGTAACTTGTAAATGAACTGGCTGTATTACAGTATGCACATCTGAAGAAACAATAAGACTTTGTTATTGTTGCTGTTATAATAGTTGATGTAATTATGCAGCTTCATGTTACATGTAAGCCACCTTACAATTTTAAAATGGTTTGAAAATCAGTATTGGATTACTTTA